ATTTAGGCCGATTTCGTTATCTCTGAATTTAATTAAATTTAATTTAGTTTAATTGATTAATTTATTAGCTTGAAATAATACTTGTCATTAATAGAATATTATATATATATATATATATATATATATATATTGAAACAGTATAAAATACAGAAAATAGTATTAAAAGCTACCTTCACATCGACATTAGATTAAAAATATAAGAGTTAATATGAGCAAATCTAATTTCATTTCATACTAAATTGTTTGGTGTCAAGTTTATCTACACATAACTAGATGGTGATAGTTACTAACTTAAGATCTAGGTGACCAAAGCCTTCTCAAACATCCCACCTTAACATTTGGTTAGTATTTACGTTTACAGTCACTCCAACCACTTGTTCCTTCTCTGGCTTTAAACATTACAAACAGCTTTCAACTGTAGGCCACTAGCGATTGAAGCTGATGTGTGACTTAGTATTTGGTTGGCTGAAGAAATGCAGATGTTATATAGCGAATTCGGTTCACCGTAGCTGTAGAGCTGTATTAATCTAATTTGTATACAAAATGTACATAAAATCCAGCAGTTTTACTTTTACTTACTGCTGTACTGTTAATTTCAGTAATTTTAATGGGGATGGTTTTATTCTGCTCCAATAAAATTGGATATTACTTTAATGATAAACGAAGAGTAAGTCTTTTTTTTTTCTGAAAAACTCAGCTATACCCTTATGAATAAAGAATGTTTTTATATTGCTTTGTTTATTAAGTATATTTTATTCCAGAGAAATGAACGTGAAAAATAATTAAAAAATTACTAAAAAAATTGACATTAAACTTCTAAAATCATTAAATAATGTAAAGCTCTCAACCTGTAATGAATTGAACTGGATGCAAAAAAAATACATTCTTGAAAAGCAATAGACGTTCTTACGTAAAAAAACAAACTTAAAAGAAATATATGATTGATCAATAAGTATAGTAATTTCGCTGCCAGCGTAATAGAAGCTTTATAATATTCAAAGCTAAACACAACTTTTGTAAAAAATATTAGAGCTGTAGAATCAATTGAATGAAAAACTTGTATGTTATTGAATGTAGATGTGATATTTGTTGAAAATCGTGTTACATTCCAGAACTGTATGAAGCAATTCTAAATTTTATCTTTCATGCTATTGTTTAACACTAGAAACGGGAAGATGATTTTTCGGAAGCAAATAAAGTTATGTAAATTCAAACAATATAATACGTTTTGAATACATATTGTTAACTAATCACTGAAGACGCAAATGTTTCCAAAAGGATCCACAAAATTGTATTATTGTCTTTTTATTTTTCTACAAACTGGAGTACTTTCAGTATGCGTTTATATAAGGGAATTAACTTATTGTGTAAAATAATATGATGGAAAATAACGTGTATTATGAATTTAGGGTATTTAATATTCTCTTATTAGATAACATGTATAACTAATTAGTGATTAAAGAAATAAACAGCGTTCATACAATTTGAATGTTTGTCAAACTAATCTCTAGATGACATCAAAATATTAGGTCGTCAAGAAATTAATGTCGCGTTTTGGAACACTTTCATTAACCGCCCCCCCCCCCCCCAAAAAAACCGTACATCACGTATAATAGTTAAACGAACCGTCTAAACGTCACGTTAGTGTAGCCTGTGTAATGTTTAGTATACTCTAATCCCTTATAGTGGTGGCACACGACGAAACACAATTGGCATGTCATGCTGTTTGAAAACAAGAAGGGAAACAACGCCTCTGCAGCCACACAGAAAATCAAAGAAGTTTGTAGAAGTGTTTTGATCATTCGTAAGTGTCAACGATGGTTCAGCAAATTTCGTTCAAGTGACTTTAGCCTTAAAAACTGAGATGGCAGGGGCCGACACGTTGGAATTGATATTGATGCTCTGAAGATGCTTGTTGAGTCTAGCCTTAGGCAACTCACTCGTGAAATGGCCCTGAAATTGCATTTCTCTATTTCTCTCATGAAACAATACGTAAACGTCTAAAGAATATGGGAAAACTCCTTAAAGAAAGTGTTTGGGTGCCTCACGAACTGTCCGATGATCATCGTTTCCAACGTGTGAACGTTGCTTCGTCTCTTCTGGAGCGTAATGCGCGTGAACCATTTTTGGACA